TATACTATAATATGAATCAAAAATCTCATTTTTTGTTAAAAGTCCCCAGAACCCATTTTTAATAGCAAAGCTCCCATTTTTTGAAAGAAAGTAATTTGTTGCCAATTACAAGTAAGGTTTCATGTGAATTATTATTATATATTACTGGATCTTTATCTCTTATTGATGGTCTCTTACTTGTCAGACTTACACAAATAAATTTTATTGAAAACACTCACTCATCACCTAATAAAACTTCAAGCTATGCTTGGGAAAAGTGAGAAGAAAAGGAATCAACCATGCAATCTATCTTATCAGCTACTAAGATAGCCAAGTCTCTTTCAGCTAAATTTAATAAGAGAAAAGTGAAGAATCAAGCAAAAACTTTATCTCGTTCCCAGAAAATTCCAAAACTATCTTCTTAGCATTACCTCAAATAAATATAAATGAGGATTCTCAAGAAGAAACTTCTTCACTAACATCTAATTTAAATATCAATTATAATTCACAGAATGATATTCAACTTGATATATCTGATGATAGGAATGAAATTGTAATACAACCACGAAAAACAAGAGGAAGAAAAAAAAATAACATTACTTTTAATTACTTTTAATGTTTTTGTGCTTCTTTTTCATTTATTTTTTTTTATACATATTTATTATTTAGATTAGATATTAGCTATATTTTAAATTTTTTTACAATTCTTTTTATTATTTTTATTTTTATTTTTAAATAAATAATTTTTTGAAAAAAAACAACTTTATTATGTAATAATAATCTATTTTTTTTTGATAATAAGATCTAAAAATAAAAATATTAATAATCGATGATGAAAAACAAAAAAAAAACCCCCACTTATCTAAAGCGGTCCCAAAGTGACCTGAAGCGAAGAACTATCAAAGATCTAAAGAAAGAAAAAGGAATTAATAAATCAAAAACAAAAATAATGAATTCACTTACCCAAAGCAGCCTAAAGTATAATCGTGATCTAAAAAAAAGATCAAATAATATTCCTACTTAACAAAAGTGACCTAAAGCGAGAAACCATCCAGGTGAAAAACTGATCTAAAAAAAAATAAAAAAAAATAACAATACAATAAAAACAAAAATTTAAAAAAAAAAAACAATAAAATGAAATCAACTTATCCAAAACGACCTAAAGTGAAGAACCTAAACAATCTAAAAAAATGAATTAATAACGAAAAAACAACGAATAGTGAAAAAAATTACTTACCCAAAGCGGCCTACAACGAAGAATCTAAAAGATCAAAAAAAAGAAATAATAATCAAAATAAAAAAATAAAAAATGAAAAAAAATACTTACCCAAAGCGGCTCACAACGAAAAACCCAAAGGGATCTAAAAAAAAGAATTACTAATCACAATTAAAAAAAGCAATGAAAACTACTTACCCAAATTGGCCTATAGTGAAGAACTCAAATAATTTAAAAAAAAAGAATTAATAATTAAAAAAAAATGAAAAATAAAAATAAGTACTTACCAAAAGTGATCTAAACTGGAAAAATATCAAAAAATAAAAAAAAATTAATTAAATATATGAATAATAAATAAGACATAAAAAAAAAATAACAATCAAGGTTAGTCTTACCAAAATAAAATAATTATTAATAATATGAAAAGCAAAAATGAAAAAAAAAAATGTCACTGCCAAACTGGAAAAATGAAAAATAATAATAAAAAACTAAATACAGTCAACTCTCTATAAATGCATCCCCCTTGGGACTGGCTACAAATGTGCATTAATAAAGGACGTGCATTTATAAAAAAATATATGTTTTAAAAAATTTTATGTTATATTTATTAAACAAATTCAAAAAACATTATTTTTATTATATGTATTTTAATAATTATTATTAATTAAAATACTGATTTATAGTAGTTTGCTGCTTTGAGTTTAATTTTTTCTTTTTAACAAATTTTTCAATTGTATTTACTAATTTTATATACTCATTTAAATCTTCTTGTTGAAGAAGAAATAAATGAATATTTTTTAAACTTTTTAATTGCTAATAATTGGAACCTCTACACTGTCATCCATTTCATCTATATTATTAATATTTTCTTCATCAGATTTCTTAAAAATATTTACAAGATCTGCTATAATTTGATCATCCTCAAGAATTTCAAAAATAACATCTTCTTCAAGAATGGTAAGAAATTCTTCTACTTTCATTGCATTAGGAAGGTGAAGAACTTTAAACGTATCATAAAGTTCTTAAAGTATTAAATCATCATTTTCATCATCTAATACAATACCATCAGAATTAAAAGGAAGAATTTTGGTATGATGCCAACAATTTTGAATTGATTTAGTTGTTACTTCATTCCAACCTTAAATAATATATTGAATTGCTTGTAAAACATCCATTTTTAGATTTCGTATATCTTGATCTGCTTCAACTTGTTCTAATATCCAACTAAAAAAAATATAATAAATAAAATATTTAATAAAAATTATTCAATAATAATTAAAAATAAAACTTACCGAATATAATGATAATGATAATATCTTTTAAAAGACATTATAATTCCAGTATCCATTAGCTGGATTTTAGAAGTTGTATTAGGTGGTAAAAAATAAATTTCAACATGTGGAAGATTTAAACTTTGTATTTTATGACTCGGACAATTATCAAGTAATAATAATACATGTTGACCATTATGTTTTTGAGCAACATAATATTCTAATTCTTGAAGCCACTTTTGAATTAAGGTTGTAAGCATCCATGCCTTTGGATTACTTCGATATGTCATTTTAAGATTAGAAATATTAATATTTTTAAAACATTTTGGTTTAGCAAACTTTCTAATAATTAAGGGAGGTGATTTGTGTGACCCATCGGCATTGGTACATAAGGCAATAGAAAGACGTCTTTGTTTTTTTACGTCCAGAAAGATGTCTTGTGGCTAAAGTTTTATCTGGTTCCAATCTATAAAAAAAAATATTTTAATATAATAATAAAATAAATTAATAGATAAATAAAAAAAAGATATATACTGGTAAAAAAGCCCAGTTCCATTCATATTGTAAATTCGTTCAGGTGGATAACTAGCATATTTGTTACGCAATAATGGTAATGCTTCAGCAATAATGTCTTGCTTAACAGATGCTGCTTCTTTTTGAAGCTTTTTCTGACAAATACGATTTCGTTTTTTAAATCCATGAAGCTAACCAGAAGAGAATTTCAAAGCTTCTTCAGGAATTTCTAATCCATTTGCCAATAATTTAGCTTTCTCAATCAATATTGCATCACTTAATATTGCTTGATGCTGATAATTCAAAACAAATTCCTTTAGAGCAAGTTCAAATTCAGGAAAAGTAACTGATTTGTTTCATTTTTGTTCTGGATGAATAACTTCTGTGACAAGTCATTTATTTGAACTTTTTAAAATTCGTATTATTGTAGACTTATCAACTCTAACATCCCATTTTTTTTCAATCCAATCGATATATTGGGTTCAGATTAACTTGTTCTTATCGGTATATAGACAAAGCTCATATTTTTGAGAGCTTGAAAGAGTTACTTTTTTTTGAAGATGTTATATTAGAAAAAAGAAAAAAAAATACAAGAACACGTTTTAAAAAAACGAAAAACGCGATTTGCGATATTAATTTAAACAGCATCGTGAAACCAAAAAAAAGAAATGGTATCGTGATATTAAGCAAAAAAAGGTATATTAAAAGTAGCATTTTATTTAAAATTAAACTATAAAACTGAAATTACTAAATTGAAATATAAGGTTGGAAGTTAAAATAGTTGGGATAAATAAGTAAGTATTGGAATTATTCGAAGTTGAAGTTGGTGTTTAAAATTGAAAGTTGTTGGAGTTGTATGTCGAAATTGAAAGTTGTTGGAGTTGAAAGTTGAAATTGGAAATTGTTAAGGAGTTAGTAATGTTAAAGTATTATTGGCGTTGACGGTGTTGAAGTATTGTTAGTGTTAATGGTATTGAAGTATTGTTGATGTTGACGGTGTTAAAGTATTATTGGTATTGGTGGTATTATAGTTAGAAGTCATTGCTATTAAAGTTGGCAATTATTGATGTTGAAGTTAGCGGTTTTTGACATTTGAGATTACAAAGATTATAAACCCGATGAGAAGATTAGTGGAAGCTAAAAAAGGAAAGTATTTTTTTCTTTTTGTATTTTTATTTGAAAACGATTGAATTTCTAACCTTTTTTTTTGTATCGATAGAATATACTAAAACGGGATGTACGATGATGAAATATTTACGATAAATCACGTGAAGTTACGTGAGATGCATTTAAAGAGATGATTGTATAATAGTCTAGACTAAAAAATCATTGCACTGTGCGAAAAGAAAGGGTGTGCAATTAGCATTAAGTCCTGAGCTTAGGACTGGATCATAGGGTGTATTTATATAGGGTGTGCACTTATAGAGGATGCATTTATAGAGAGTTGACTGTATATATATATAATAGTTATATGTTATTTAAACAATAAAAATTATTTTAAAAAAAATTTTAAACTAAAAATGATTAAGTCGTCATACTGAAAACTGAAATTATTTTACTATTTTTAGTAAGTTACAAATTATTGGGCTTGATATGCAAAACTTTTTTTTGATTACAAATATCATTTAAATTATTATATAAGCTTAATAATGATAAGACTGTTTTTTTTTTATTTTTATGATATAGTAATATGAAAAGCAAAAAAGATCAAAATACTGTAACATTTTGAATTATTTAAAATGAAAAGAACAAAAATTAATATGATTGATTATTTAAAAACTAATGAAACATTAAACATATTATTTGATCAATTTAAATATTTTTTTTTTTTTTTTTTATAAATAAAAGTTTATTATATAAAATAAAAAATGTTTATTAACTATACAGTAATGAATTAAAAGAAAATTTTATACTATTTTTTTTTGCGAGATGGATGACCTTTAGATTTTTTTAATACAGATACAATTTCAGGAGTTGATTCTTCTTGTTCTTGAATTTCTTCAAAAGTTTCTTAGAAATTCCTTTAGAAATTTCTATTGAAGTTTCAGCTGTTACAAGTGCATTTGATGTAATATCTGATAATTTTGTCAATTTAGTTGGCTGAAATTTCATTTCAATTTCTCTTTTTCCTAATATAAGTGCAGAATGCTGTTGCTCTTGAATTTTATTATAAATTGTTGACTTTGTAATTGTTGTATTCAATGATGTTGATGGTAATGATATTGAAGGTGATGATGATGATAATGTAAAAGATCAAAGCATTTCTTTTGTAAATTTTGGTCCAAATTTTGATTGTTGTTGAGTACGTAAAAAACTAAAATTATGTAATTCTAAATAAAGTTTTCCTTCAATTGATGTTAAAATGCCTGTAACAAAAATTGAAGACCCTCATTTTAACATTATTGTTTGATTTTTCAAATGGCTTTCATTAGGATGAAAGATTATTATTGGAATTTCATTTAGCTTATCTTTAGCCATATAATCTGAAATGATACATTCAAATTATATGCCAAGATTTGTAAGAAGTACTGAATCTAAAACTAAAGCTGTTCCCATAACATTTATTTGATGAACAGGTAAATCTTCTGGTTTAATGCTTAAGATTGTAGCTGAAGT